CCTTTAGTATCGTAGATACGTAACATTTAACTTGTATTGTAATTTGTATGATGTTGGTAATACACTATAAGTCAGTATTGTAATCAGAGTACTATGCATTGGTATAAATACTCGATCATCCTAAGAATATGGTTTAATTCTTTTTACGTCGCTTTACTTCACGTTACGTCTTAATACTAGCTCTTATGCGTTAGTCAAACTTGTAACACACATACTGTCGCTTAAATAAAACGACTTAAACCACTATCATTCGATCTATCTCCACGCTCTTCACTACTATAAACGTATCATGGCTACTACAAATCCGCCTGCAGAGCTGGCCAATTTCAAAGAACCCACATCACTATGTAGTAAAAGGACTAAAAGTAGAGTCCTTTGTAGTTTTTTTTGTATGTAATTAGTATTATTTTACTATAGAAAATACCTACAAAGTGATAGTGTCTTTAAGTTTTACCCTGCCAAATCATCATGTCGCCATCTTTTCTTCTTCATTATTTTACAAGGTATTATATAGATTACTATAGAAGTAGCCCTATAGAGCAAATGCCTAATCTAAAGAAAGGGCGTTTGATCGTCTATTCAAATTGTAAAGAAATTTGACTTAGTAGCAAAACCCTATCCTTAGAGAAAGGGGATTTATAACATGACGATAAAGTACTGTAATGTAGTCTATACTCGTACAGTTACAGTACAATCTGACGCTAAAACATCAACTGTCAATACTCGCGAATACTAAGCGATACTAATGTCAGAAAAGTAGTCTTAGTAGTCATATAAATTTTTTTGATAAGCGATTACTGTGATCTTCAAAAAAAGCGAATTTTTCCGGATTTGTGTCCAATATAGTTTTCGGATTCTGGGACCGGTCGGGTTTGTGTCCGATATAATTTTCCTGTTTTGGAACCGGTCGGGTTTATTTTTAATTTATGTCTGAATTATAATTTTTGGATTTTTGTTCATGAAAAATATCGTAAGAGTTGATTTTTGAGATTTGGACTTTTTGTTATGAATTTGAAACTTTGCAATTTTATGACGTGACTTGAAGTCACATTAGGAGATTTAGTGAGGAAAATAGAAAATAAGATGGAAATTGGCAGAGGTTGTGTTGATTGTTAAGTAGTTAGAATGTTGTTTTTATGACTAAATCTTGATGTTTAAAGGTTGATTTTTAGACTTTTATAGTGTATTAATGATAGAAATTATGTTAGAAATGAAGTTTGATGTATTTTTATAGTTAGCTTGTTACTTTTATAGTGTTTTGTAAGGGAATCGTAGGGTAAATTGTGTCTGAACTTTGAATGATTTTTGTTTTCTTAAATGGTGCAAAGTAGTTTTCTAAAACGGATCTTAAGAGCGATTGGTTAGCAAATGTTTAGTTTTAAATATCTCTG